TCTAGAAACGTATTGAATTGTCTTGAAATGAAAGTAATGTGTCAATATTTATCTTTTACAAGTTAGCTATGACATAGCCAATGAAAATATAGCATAACTTTTGGATTTCACCCCTTCTCAAAATCGAATGATTTTGATCATTTACGGAGTAATCTGCTCTACTATATACAGTGGGGGAAAAAAGTATTTAGTCAGCCACCAATTGTGCAGGTTCTCCCACTTAAAAAGATGAGAGAGGCCTGTCATTTTCATCATAGGTACACGTCAACTATGACAGACAAATTTACCCAAATAAATCCAGAAAATCACATTGTAGGATTTTTTATGAATTTATTTGCAAATTATGGTGGAAAATAAGTATTTGGTCACCTACAAACAAGCAAGATTTCTGGCTCTCACAGACCTGTAACTTCTTCTTTAAGAGGCTCCTCTGTCCTCCACTCGTTACCTATATTAATGGCACATGTTTGAACTTGTTATCAGTATAAAAGACACCTGTCCACAACCTCAAGCAGTCACACTCCAAACTCCACTATGGCCAAGACCAAAGAGCTGTCAAAGGACACCAGAAACAAAATTGTAGACCTGCACCAGGCTGGGAAGACTGAATCTGCAATAGGTAAGCAGCTTGGTTTGAAGAAATCAACTGTGGGAGCAATTATTAGGAAATGGAAGACATACAAGACCACTGATAATCTCCCTCGATCTGGGGCTCCACGCAAGATCTCACCCCGTGGGGTCAAAATGATCACAAGAACGGTGAGCAAAAATCCCAGAACCACACGGGGGACCTAGTGAATGACCTGCAGAGAGCTGGGACCAAAGTAACAAAGCCTACCATCAGTAACACACTACGCCGCCAGGGACTCAAATCCTGCAGTGCCAGACGTGTCCCCCTGCTTAAGCCAGTACATGTCCAGCCCCGTCTGAAGTTTACTAGAGTGCATTTGGATGATCCAGAAGAGGATTGGGAGAATGTCATATGGTCAGATGAAACCAAAATGTAACTTTTTGGTAAAAACTCAACTTGTCGTGTTTGGAGGACAAAGAATGCTGAGTTGCATCCAAAGAACACCATACCTACTGTGAAGCATGGGGGTGGAAACATCATGCTTTGGGGCTGTTTTTCTGCAAAGGGACCAGGACGACTGATCTGTGTAAAGGAAAGAATGAATGGGGCCATGTATCGTGAGATTTTGAGTGAAAACCTCCTTCCATCAGCAAGGGCATTGAAGATGAAACGTGGCTGGGTCAATGATCCCAAACACACCGCCCGGGCAACGAAGGAGTGGCTTCGTAAGAAGCATTTCAAGGTCCTGGAGTGGCCTAGCCGGTCTCCAGATCTCAACCCCATAGAAAATCTTTGGAGGGAGTTGAAAGCCCGAGCAGTGATGTTTTCAGGCCCAGCGACAGCCCCAAAACATCACTGCTCTAGAGGAGATCTGCATGGAGGAATGGGCCAAAATACCAGCAACAGTGTGTGAAATCCTTGTGAAGACTTACAGAAAACGTTTGACCTGTGTCATTGCCAACAAAGGGTATATAACAAAGTATTGAGAAACTTTTGTTATTGACCAAATACTTATTTTCCACCATAATTTGCAAATAAATTCATTAAAAATCCTACAATGTGATTTTCTGGATTTTTTTTCCTCATTTTGTCTGTCATAGTTGACGTGTACCTATGATGAAAATTACAGGCCTCTCTCATCTTTTTAAGTGGGAGAACTTGCACAATTGGTGGCTGACTAAATACTTTTTTCCCCCACTGTAATTCCCTACTATATTCCATATATAATGGTGTTGGCTAAATTGACAATTAAGATCCATTTACTTATCCTGTCGCATTTGAATCGCATTAAATCAACTTTATTAACTCCTAGAGGGTATGATAAAACCAATAGTTACACTTCCAGACAGTGGCCAATTTTAAATGCTTAGAGTTTACCATTTATCCATATGCAAAACACTGGGAGAGTCTAATGAAACAATGATACCTTTTCTGCCAGCTGCACAGCACAGCCCAGCTTATTAAGTATTTACGGTGGTGGTTAAAACCATTACAGACTGGAGTCATGTTAGTCACTAACCCACAAAGTAGGGTTTTTCCTGCCCAACATATCTAGGCAAAGAGCAGAAACATCCATCTCCCCATTTGGCCCCCTTCAAGGTGTTTTCATATCAGTAGAAAATTGAAGGGATAATTCTCCGAAATTTGAAAATGACATTTGTTATTTACCCTGTAAGTAGCCTGGACAAAGAGACTGCTCTGTCTCCACGCTTTAGGGTTGTTGCTGATTTGGGCATGCAAGTTGAAGCATGCTAATTTCTGATATTTTGACTTCCACTGGTTTTTAGTTGAGTACAGCATTGCTTACCATCTACTGTTGAGGCCAGTCTCACTATGATCATCCTTAGTGGCGATGGCAGAAAGCGGATGTTTCTGGTTTTCAGGGATACAGTATTTTCAACCTAACTTCTGTTTCCCCTGAAAAATGGAAGTGGGGACTCCGCTCAGGCGTCTTTCTACGCCTGCTTTGTTAGGTTACACAGTGATAAACCATCTTCTAATACAGGGATGGGCAACTTTGATGGGGGTGGGGGCCACCAAAAATCTGAACTCTTCGTGAGCAAAACATTTAGCAGCCCCCCTCTTGACAGCGGAGAGAAATGTTGAGTTTTAGAGTTAATTTTGTGCAATTCTACACATTTTGCATGGGGCATAGAGAAATTGTTGCAGTATTAAAGAAAGTTTGCTGCAATTCTACACATTTTGCGATGGGGCATAGAGAAGATTTTTCAATTTTATAACTAATTTCATGCAATTCTACTCTAAGCTATGGGTGGAGAGGAAAATGTGATGTTTTACAGAATTTTCTGCAATTTGACACATTTTGCCATAGGGTGGAGAGAAATGTTTGCAGTTTTTAATATGATATCTGAGTGAGACTGACTAACAAAATCAATGGGGGCTGGCAGCTAGACTAATTTGTGCTGATGCACAACCAACTTTCGAAGTTACACCTTTTGTATTCTACTATTCCAACTTGCAACAGTAAGTTGAGACCCCGACTGATTTTCTACTCAAAATTATTTATCCGAGGGCCTTCAAAAGGGGGCCATGATGTCGCCCACGGGTTGCCAGTTGCCCATCCCTGTTCTAATCTAATGGGTATAATTAAATGAGATATTACTGCCCCCTGCTGTTAAATTATATTAATACTTGGAGCCTTTTGGCATCAGAGCCTTTTGGTATCAAGGCCTGAGGGCTTATTCAGGGCAGGGTAAGGTTACCGAACATTCAGATAGAAATGTATCATGTAACCCTCAGAATACTACTAATCGTGTGTCAGTTCTATACATTACATTCCTATCCACAAAGTTTAAAACATTGCAGCCCACTGAACATGCCCCATGATGACATTGATTGATAGCATGGTGCCAGTTATCTAATCCCAAAGGAGAATTTGGGTGGGGCAGTTCCCTGTACAATTCACACACAGTGGGTGGTTGGAAATTAACTGAACTTAGTTCTCAGAAAAGTAAACCATGAATTCCATCCTCCTAAAAAGTACTAGTAGATTCACTAGTAGGCTATCTATTTACTATAGTGGAGGTTTGTTTACCCTTTACCTTTCACTAATGTCTTTGGTCTTTATATTTAATTATGCCATAGCAAACTTTCTTTAACCACATTGTGAAGTTGTTTACTGTAGTGCTCAATTTGCCAAGATCATTTCAAACCTATCGGTACTGCATTTCATAAAGTGTAGGTGTGTCTTGTTTAATGTGCTTGCTTTTAAGACTACCTGTTTCTTACATTTTGAACTGACTTGTCTTTCAGCCTGTCCAGTGCTGCCCAGCTTGGCTTGCGGACAGAGGATGAGGACGCAGAAGAACTAAAGGTTTGCTCCCTCCATTCTAGCTATCAAAATCTTCCCCCATGACACACCACCTCCCCTCGATCCGAGCCCAAATGCTGATTTGAATTAAGACACTCCATTAGCTGTCACTGTGAGCGAAGGATGAGGAGGAGAGATGATGTGGGGGATGCAGCCTTTGGCTAAAACCTGCCCCAGATCCCTGGTTGGCTGGCTGCAGTGAGAGGCCACATTCAAATGGATTTTTATCTGAGGGGAAGTTTCAGAGTCGGTGCCGGTTATGTAAGTGGTTAGCGTAGTGTGGATGCTAGCGTTAGCAATATAGTACTACGGTACTCCAGTCTTCGGCTGCATGAAAGGACGATTCTGTCCGCATGAGTGACCCGGTCCATTTCACTCAAGTCTCCCTCTCTCACCATCACTGCACCTCCCACTCATTCTCTCCCTCTACCTCCCTTACTTTCCAGTCTAGCAGCGTGAGACACTGACTCTCACATCAGAGAAGAAAGCAGGAGAAGAGAGCAGCTCAGAAATTGAGGGAGAAAGAATATACAGAAAGAAAGGGTGAGAAATGGAGAGATGTCCGGTGAGAGAGGGAAAGATGGGGAACACAAGGAGTAGACGGAAAGGACGAGAGGGGGAGGGAGATGGCGGTAGGAGGAGAGTGATAGAAAATGATAGCAATGAGAGCAACCAACACCAGGCACCATTATAGCACAATAACGATTCACTGAGTGAAAGACATAGCTGAAAAAGAAAATACTTACTATTGTAGCTTGACGTACTGGTGCTCTATCCGAACTGAAACTCGGCTCTATAGGATGTCTGTCATCTATTTATCAGTGCATCATTCAGCCTTGGAGGCATAGGAAGTAGAATCGGTGCATTTATCTCCAGTGGGTGGCTGAGGCGTAAGGGGAAAGGGAGGGGGCACACTCTCTGAAAAGCCTCTGGATCTTTCCCTCTATTTTCTCCTCTGACTTTCACTCAATCACTGTTTTTCTCTCCTCTCCTAGTTTTCTTTCGATGTACGTTTCTCTCTGGCGCATTTATTTTTGTCTATCTGTGTCCATCCTTTCCCCATCCTTTTCCTTGTCCACTCCTCCCCCTCGTCTCTAGCTGGTGGAGGAGGAGGCGTTGTTGGTGGGCCTGGACGCGGAGCTTCACAGACCGGCCAAGTCTATGAGCCTGACAGCGCAGCTGCAGGCGCTGAGGAGAGCGCTCTACCACAAGTACCTCCAGGAGGTGGCCGCGCTGAAGGAGCAACACTGTGCTGAGCTCACCAGACTCAGAGAAGAGCGGGAGCAGGAAAAGAGAGAGAAAGTGAGGGAGGAAGGGGTGGAGGAGGTGTGGTCACAGGTGAAGCAGGATCCGGAGGGCATCAACGGGGGCATCCGCTCTATCGAGGGGCCCAGCGCGGAGGAGAGGAGACACCAGGAGAGGGTGGAGGAGGAGATAGCTAAGGTAAGAAGTTGACTGCCGAACAGGCAATATTGAAAGGGGACAATTATTAAACTCCCCAAAAAACAAGAGCTATTGTAGGCGATAGACAAACTTAAATGTTGCTTTCATGTACTAACAACAGCTCAGGCATACAGTATCTGGCTAAATATGTGTAGGTATGCAAATCATATTTTGTACATAGTTTAAGTCGATTTCATAATGACAAATATTTTCGTATTCTGAACAACCTCCCTTCCTGACGTGTTTGTATCTCTGAGGTCCTACTGTACTCTTGTAGAATGACTTAAACGACTAACAAGCAAGAAAACATATCCTGGAGAATTTTGGAGAGTGCAGATATTTGGCTGGTATTTTAATGAGCAGCCTATGTATGTTTAAAGCACTAACTGTATCCGAGGGCACAGTTGAATCCTGTGAACTTAACACACACAGGAGTCATATGTACTTAAGTACAAAGCATACCGTTTAAGTTGCACCGAAAGTTTTTAGCATTTATTAGTGGGGAGCAGTGCTTTTAGTCCTATCTGGATTGAATTGCCTTTCAAATTTAGTTGAAAATATACTTTTTATTTCACTTAACAACATTAAGTTCAAACCATTCCACTATGATGCCTCATACGCATCTCTCTTAGGTCATAGTTCAGATGTCGGTGGAGTTTGCCCAGCAGAGCGAATTGGCCCGAATCGCTAAGAGTGCCCGTGAGACCACCTCGGCCATGCAGACCCAGTCCGAGGAGGACGAGGAAGAGGAGCAGCAGACCCCCAGGACCTCACTCACCAAGGGGATCTCTCCGGAGGAGGTGCAGAGGAGGTTCGCGGAGGACAAAGAGAGGCTGGAGAGAGAGCTGGAGGAGAGGACTGCGGAGCTCCGTAGGATTAAAGAGCAGCTTCGGCGCGGAGGTCCTGGATCTGAGCAGGTTAGCAATGGGGCTTTCCTGATAGCGCTTTCATGAGTGAGTTTGATTTCAACAGCAGCATGTCTCGGATGGAGGCAGTTGATACTAGACTTAGCATGGTATTTGGGGTTATGACGTTTAGGTTGGCATTAGGTGCTAGGTTGCACAGGCTTAGTACTTTGAATAGTTCTTAAGATCTACAAAACATGCAATCTAAAATACCAAATACAACCACCATCAGCAGAAGCTGAATGTAGTTCTTTGTTAAATGAAGCGACAATGATTTTCATCCACCTGCCAAGTATTGTCTCTTCTAACCCATTGCTCTCCATATTGAGAAGCACTTAGTGGGTTAAACCACTTGATCGCCTGAGGAAGGATATTATTATACCTCACATGGTGTAGTTTGCTTTGTACAAACCCTCCAGGGGCCTTTTGAAGGATAACACTGTGTCCTTACACTAGATGTTCCCCTTCTCCTTCTAGCCCTTTCTCTCAATGTTTTTTTTTTTTTAGCCTAAGCCCCAGCCTACTATCAGATGATGTCCAATGTGTGTCTAGTCGAAGAGGCTGTGATGTCTAACCGAAGCCGCTTCACTCGGCTGCCATATTGGCTACACCCACAGGGCGTTTATTTTCATTAGGAAGAACATAGCCTGTTTGCTAGCATTGGCACCTAAAGTATGTGCTAAACATTAACTAATGCAACTGCAAAAAAGTATATGCCATAGTAACTTTTCGTTTAGATTTTTTGCATTGCTAAAGAGTCTAGCAAGCCTCAATGTAACAATGCTTGCCTACTTGAAAGCATACAGTAGATATTTCTATGTCCTCATAAGCGATAAGTGTGGGAGGAAATTGAAGCACCATCGTAATATGATCTGAGTACTTGAGCTGTCATTCAAGCCCTGTGTTTCACATGCTTGAGATATTGATGCTGAACTAAATATTTGTGTATTTTGAAAGGTCATTGTGGGAAGTACTGACCACACTCATGGTGTGCTACACACACACCCACACACACATCCACACACACACACACACACACACACACACACACACACTCACCGACCCCTTGCTCCGGCAGGCTTTTCACAATACATTTATTGCATGATTAGGCATTACCTCCATGATGAAACACTTAAGACTAATCCTGTAATGTTGAAGACAACTTGGCAAAGAAGTTATTTAACTGCAATTTACCCGATTTGTGTTTTTTGGTTGTCAGAGGGTAGTTCATAGCTGGAGTTTGCATGCATTTAGGCAACTTTTTCCCTTTGTTTGAGTGTGTGTGTGAGTGCATGGAAGAGATTGCATGTATAAATAAGTTCCTTACTTACTTGACAAACTTGCAAAGTTGATACAAGGGGTGAGCTAAGCTACGAGCTAATGTTTACACCACTGAATCACAAATGTTCTAACGTTTTGATTCAAAGAAAATATGAAGCAGCAAACACCGATTCTAAGTTGTTGTGAATGTTATCATTTTGGTCATTTTAATAAATTAAGGCGACTTGCTTATTGAGTGCAGATGGGATATTCCTCCGATGGAGATGGAGGGAACGAGAGAAAAGAAAGTGGAAAGAAGGAAAGGGCAAAACCGCAAATGAAAATCAGAGGCTCACAGAAAGAAAAGGTCATATTTTTATTTTACAGTTCAGTTGCACCTCTACTACTTTCCACCTCAGCATCATCAGTGATGGGGTTGGGGGCCACATCTGCAGTCCTCATGCCTACTTGCAGCATGCTTAAGGCACGTTCGCGCAGATGAGCAGGGACCCTGGGCATCTTTCTTTTGGTGTTTTTCAGAGTCGGTAGAAAGGCCTCTTTAGTGTCCAAAGTTTTCATAACTGTGACCTTAATTGCCTACCCTCTGTCAGCTGTTAGTGTCTTAACGACCGTTCCACAGGTGCATGTTCATTAATTGTTTATGGTTCATTGAACAAGCATGGGAAACAGTGTTTAAACCTTTTGCAATGAAGATCTGTGAAGTTATCTGGATTTTTACGAATTATCTTTGAAAGACAGGGTCCTGAAAAAGGGACGTTTCTTTTTTTGCTGAGTTTATATTATACCCGCAATACATTCAGTCCTTTTAATCTATTGACTGCATTTACTGACGTTCAGTTGGGACTGTGCTCTTTGCATAATAGCCTAACTTATTATGACATGAAGAGTACCTACTCTATAACAGTTTTTCATTTTCATTTAAATGTCAAACTGTTAAATCTCAACCAAATGACGAAATACAATGATTGGAGCTCATAGGTAAAAAGATTGTGGCAGAAACGTCAACAGCTTCAACCAGTATACACAATGTGGTCATTTAGGAATGGACGTGAACATCTCTTGATTTAATATTCTATCTGAATGAGCAGAATTTCTGTTCCCTCAACAAGAGAGGGAGCTGCTCTACTTCCTGCATCAGCCCATTGTCTCAGGTGCACCTGTTGCCATAACAGCACAGATACTAGTGTTTCCCTCGCTTCCTTGGAAGTGAATGTGTTTGTGAGTGTGTCTGTACTGGGGCGCACTTGGACGATTTTTGAATCGACAATCCTTATAATGGTCATGCGTTTAGCTCGCCTGGGCGTCACTGTTTCATGTTTCCAGGGATCGTCAACACAGTGTGGAAGTGTGTGCTTGTCTGTAAACTGGTGATGATGACAGGGCTGTTGTCGTTCTTCTCCCTCCTGCCGGTCCATCTACTGAAGAAGAGAGGAAAGAAGGAAGATGAAGAGGTCAGGAGGAAGACGGCCGTGGGTGGAAAGTTTTCATCACAAGATGGAGGGGATGACTCTTCCTGTCCAGATCATCAGGTCATCACTACTGAGAGGTATGACTATAGAACGATACAAATGTTTGAAGTTTTCATTTAATTTATATTGTAAAAAAAAAATGTAACTCCAGTGCACGTCATGATTTTACCATTTCGACTAGAGAATTGTTTTATTTTTGATAACCACATATAAACTGAAGATATTAGAAGATTTTAGCTACTTTATTTATTTTTTTCAACATAAAAAAGTTTCTTCAAAAATACATTTATGCAGGGAATATGACAAAGGACCACATGTTTCTGTGTACGTATGTAGTTAACAAAAGCATCTTGCCAACCTCACCCGTAACCAAAACATTTGTTTCATGTGAATGAAATTCCATAATCTTTTTTCCATCAACATTTTTATTTTCTTCTTTCCTCAGGAATCTGCTGCGTAAGGCCAACGAGAGCCTCCGCCAGGTGCTGAGTGATGTGCTCAAGACCACAGCGGCCGCGGAGGAGACCATCGGACGCCACGTGGAGGGGCTACTGGTACCCCCGTCCTCCTCACAGAGACCCACCTGGCAGAGAGATGCTGGCGGGCCCTTCAGGCCTGCCACAGGGGCTGCGGGAGGTTAGTTAAGCAGCCAATTCCAAACCAACCCCTACTACCTATGCATGTTTTGAGATGTAAAATGGGGCTGAGCAATATGGCTCCTCCAGGCCTTACTGGTGTCACAGTTAAGCTACATCTCTAACCAACACATCTGATTACACTTAACTGAAGACAATTAATAGTAGCTAGGGCTGCGACAAACCTGTGACACCAATCAGGCCCCCTTGGGGATCGAAGTCTTGGAAGAGCTCCATCCCACTCCATCAAGATGATTTTAGATTTCATTAAATAGAGCCAGACAATACCAGAAGATACAGGGAGGGAGAGAAGAGGTGCAAGGGTTGAGGGCTGGCTGTGTGACAGAAATATACACAGGACAGGAAGGAAAGATGGGGAGACAGAGAATACTTAAGGAAAATGTCAGATGTCATTTTTTATTAATGTTAATTGGCAGCTAACAAGTCCTGCAAGTTTCAAACCAGTATTGCCAATCTAAAGAGGTCCTGACTGACTGGTTACCTGCAACCTTTCTCTATGGGACCAGAGTAAGTGGTGTCATGTTCAAATGCATAAAGCAGTTGATACGCATCACATTGAATTAATTGTGGATGTACACCTGCTCTTAACATGACATAGACTGACCAGGTGAAAACTATGATCCACTTCAATCAGTCTAGATGAAGGGGAGGAAACAGGTTAAAGAAGAATTTGTAAGCCTTTAGACAATTGAGACAGATTGTGTATGTGTGCCATTCAGAGGGTGAATGGGCAAGACAAAAGATTTAAGTGCCTTTGAACAGGGTATGATAGTAGGTACCAGGCGCACCGGTTTGAGTGTGCTAAGAACTGCAACGGTGCTGGGTTTTTCATGCTCAACAGTTTCCCGTGTGTATCATGAATGTTCCACCACCTAAAGGACATCCAGCCAACTTGGCAACTGTGGGAAGCATTGGAGTCAACATGGGCCAGCATCCCTGTGGAACGCTTTCGACACCTTGTAGAGTCCAAGTCCCAACGAATTGAGGCTGTTCTGAGGGCAAAAGGAGTTGCAACTCAATATTAGGAAGATGTTCCTAATGTTTTGTACACTCTGTGTATATCGTATCATTTTGCCAATGTGCAGTTTGCGTGGAAGTCAACTGCATAACAGGGTTTGGGTCAATTCCATTTAAATTCCAGTCAATTCAAAAAGTGAACCAAACTCCAATTCAAAATGTTCCTCATTGAAAAGCGTAGAAGAGAATTGGAATTGGAATTTTAGTGTACTTACTGAATTGACTGGAATTTTAATGGAATTGACCCCAACCAGGCTGCTAGGATACAGGGGGGGAAATTCATACATTTAATATCAATGCAAATCATACAACCTTCGTCAGCCTGACCAAAACATGCAAAATGATCACGTTTGTATCTTTTCATCATTACAGCCAATGGCTGCTTAGTGCACAAAAATCAGTTAATATCCCCAGGGACTATAGCATTCATGGCATTTTTCAGCCCAGCGCCAAACACTGTTAAAAGTAAAGTTCCCACAGCTGCCAGAGGAAAAGCAGTCCAGCCAGACTGACAGACCTGTCACTAGTAGGCAGTGTTTCAGAATCACATACTGTAACTGATGAATCATAGGAATGAATCCAACTCTGAAGGTGACATGGCAATCCTTTGGTAACACCTTTAACCAGACTCTTATTGCTGGGTTTTTCACGCTCAACAGTTTCCCGTGTGTATGAAGAATGGTCCACCACCCTAAGGATATCCAGCCAACTTGACACAACTGTGGGAAGCATTGGAGTCAACATGGGCCAGCATCCTTGTGGAATGCTTTCGACACCTTGTAGAGTCCATGCCCCGAAGAATTGAGGCAGTTTTGAGGGCAAAAGGAGGGAGTTTGTTGACAATACTTGCTCATAACATTTATTTCACAAATCATAGAATCACATGACTAGATAGCTGAATGAAGCAGTTGAGGTCAGGTGCACTTGTTCAAGGGTACAACCACAGTATACCCTACCCTGGATTTGAACCTGCAATTCTATGGTCCATCCATTCCCCAACCACTCCCTAACTATATCAGACAATAGTCGTTATGCCATTACAATCCTTAGTGTCTACAGTAAATACTCATCTCATCTCTCATTTGTGGGTATGTGGCCCTAAGGTGGAGTCGCCAAATGTGACAAGTGTGTTTTAAGAGACAACACCCTGCCAAGCATAGCCATATGTCTCTCCCTTCTGTGTCTACAGGCTTAAGGGGATACTGCTAGATTTTGGCATTTAAGTGAAATTACAGGACGTCTACAGGTACAGTAGTAATGCTACCGTACCTGTAGACTACCAGTCATTGTGCTAATGCTAGTTAGCTAACTTCCTTCATACTGCACGCAGAGACATCTGACTCTCGTTAAGTAGAACAAGGGCTTAAATGCCAGAATCTCGTAGTATCCCTTTAAGCGGCAAAGTCTGCTCTAGTGTGGGAACATCTCCCCTCAAGTAAACATCTGCCTGCCCTCTCGACACACGAAACAAGCATGCATGTGTGTACACACAGATACTGTAGTGTGTACATGCACACATTAAACAAACGCACAGACACACATGCATTAATGCATAACTAGGTTAATTATTGTGGTTAGATTTTACAGTTCAAAGAACTAGCTTTTTAACCAACCGCTTGACTTTTTAAAAACTTTTTATAATGGTCTTGGTATTTTATCAATGAAGTATAGCTGTTGACAGGGTTAATTTGACTGTCAAGTGAACTTGATGTTTGGGTAAACAAAAAAATAATCAATGTGCACAATAGTACTGACTCCTTTAAAGATTCCAAGATGGTTTTAAAAAAATTCAGATTTGATTGTTTTCACAAAGTACATGTCAATCAGGATTCCCCCTACACGATCATCTCATACACTTGTATCAACCACACATATCCTTAAAATGTGCATAGTGTCTGTGGCATGTGTATTTTCATTCAAATTCTGTTAGCAGTCATGATAGAAGATGCCAACTGTGATCCGTACTCTCTCCCCTTGCATTCACTTGCTAGAAAAGTGTGGACCAATGCACTGAGAAGAGAGAGGGAGAGTATGGAGAAAGAGAGATGACTTGTATCCCTCCTGAGAATAAAGAGGCAATTGTGGATCATTAAGTAGCATCATGTATGTTATTTGCTGTTTAGTTCTGTGTGTGGTCGTGTCTAGGGTGGCACTACCAGTCAGCTAGGATCGAGACTGTAACCCCTGCTTTCATGGATTATACTTGTACTTCATAATGGTCATTATGTAGTAGTATGAATGTGATATTGGCACAAGGACAGTACTCAGGCTACTAGACCAAGGAAGGGATGGGCAACTCCAGTCCTCGGAAGCCTTGTCTGATTAAGACCTGGGATACTATCCCTTATATTATAATATGTTGATAAATGCTTTGCCAAAAAATGAATTGTTTGGATAAAAATGATTACATTAATGACTGGTTGATATTGGGGACAATGGACACTATTGTTTCCAATGAAGTGTTTTCTCTTGACAATTAACCTTGCCCTCCATTTTGGTCGTTCCTGCCCAGATGCATCGACCACTGAGAGTTGCCAGGGCAGCGAGACTGGGGCGGACAACGTGAGCGTGTGGTCGGGCGAGACTGAGACGGACGAGGGCCTGGAGATGTCCCAGCAGATGATGACGGACAGTCACAGCCTGCTGCCGGGGTCAGAGCTTCAGCTGGAGAACGAGGAGTACCTCATGAATATTAGCTCCCGCCTCCAGGCTGCTGTGGAGAAACTACTGGTGGCCATTACTGAGACGACCAATCAGGTACGTCACAGCATAATATAACATTTGCGTCAAAGTTCAACTGATAAGAGCTTGGTGTGCTCAGCACGAAGATTGTGGACCACACAGAAAATTAATCTGTTCTGTTTAACTATAACTTTTCCTGTGAATCAAAGTGCCAGAAGCATTTTTTTACTTTCTTGACAGTCATTTAAAAGGCTGTTGTTGATGAAAGCGTTATGGAGCAAACTAAAGCCTTTCTGACATACAGTGAGTTCCAAAAGTATTAGGACAGTGACACATGTTTTATTATTTTGGCTCTGTACTCCAGCACTTTGGATTTGAAATTATACAATAACTATGAGGTTAATGTGCAGACTGTCAGCTTTGATTTTTGGGTATTTTCATCCATATCGGGTGAACTGTTTTGAAATTACAGCACTTTTTGTACGTAGTCCCCCCATTTTAGGGGACCAAAAGTTTTGGGACAAATTCACTTATACCGTACCAGTCAAAAGTTTGGACACACCTTCTCATTCAAAGGTGTTTCTTTATTTTTATTATTTTCTACAGAATAATAGTGAAGACATCAAAACTATGAAATAACACATATGGAATGTAGTCCTGTGTAGCTCAGTTGGTAGAGCATGGCACTTGCAACGCCAGGGTTGTGGGTTCGATTCCCACGGGGGACCAGTATGAAAGAATGTATGCACTCACTAACTGTAAGTCGCTCTGGATAAGAGTGTCTGCTAAAATGACTAATTGTAGTAATGAAAAAAGTATTAAACAAATCAAAATATATTTTAGATTTTAGATTCTTCAAAGTAGCCACCCTTTGCCTTGATGACAGCTTTGCACACTCTTGGCATTCTCTCAACCAGCTTCATGAGGTAGTCACCTGGAATGCATTTCAGTTAACTGGTGTGCCTTGTCAGCACAAGGACTGTTCGTCGGGAGCTTCATGAAATGGGTTTCCATGGCCGAGCAGCCGCACACAAGCTAAGATCGCAATGCCAAGCGTCAGCTGGAGTGGTGTAAAGCTCGCCGCCATTGGAGCAGTGGAAACGAGTTCTCTGGAGTGATGAATCACGCTTCACCATCTGGCTGTCCGAAAGCTGAAAGTCTGCACTTTAACCTCATTCATTGTATCATTTCAAATTCAAAGTGCTGGAGTACAGAGCCAAAACAACAACAACAAAAATGTAATTGTCCCAATACTTTTGGAGCTCACTGTATCTAGCGGTAGGTAGGGCCGGGACGTTATCAGTATTGCGATTCTCAAACAAAACACAAAGCGGATTTCACTTTAGGAAAACAGCCCTAATGTTGGAAACACACATTATGTTTTCGTCCAGAGTCACATTTATTTATTTTCCAAGCTATAGCGCACAATATTTTACATACAGCAGGTCTGCTTCATGTTTTCAGTTTTGGCATGGAAATAATATTGCGATAATGGTATCGCCACAGCCCTAGCGGTAGGCTACATACTGTAAATACATCGTTCCGGGAACTGTGTGTGAGCAAAATACCAGAGCTATACAATGGTTGGTAATTAATGGATTTGTCACCTAAACATCCTCTTGTTAATGTTCCCATATTGTTACTTCATTCATGTTAGCTGTGGCTGTAAAGTTCTAGGAAGCTACAACTACATACAGTGCCTTCGGAAAGTATTGAGACCCCTTGACTTTTCCCACATTTTGTTAGGTTACAGGTTTTTTCAAAAGTTGATTAATTGATTAATTAGTTTTTTTTCTTCATCAATCTCAACACAATACTGCATAATGACAAAGCAAAAACAGGTTGTAACATTTACATAAGTATTCAGACCCTTTGCTCAGTACTTTGTTGAAGCACCTTTGGCAGCGATTACAGCCTTGAGTCTTCTTGGGTATGACGCTACAAGCTTGGCACACCTGTGTTGGGGAGTTTCTCCCGTTCTTCTCTGCAGATCCTCTCAACCTCTGTCAGGTTGGATGGGGAACGTTGCTGCACAGCAGAGATGTCTCAAGAGATGTTTCATCAACGATCTCTCTGTACTTTGCTCCGTTCATCTTTGCCTCGATCCTGACTAGTCTCCCAGTCCCTGCCGCTGAAAAACATCCCCACCGCATAATTCAGCCACCACCATGCTTCACCGTAGGGATGGTGCCAGGTTTCCTCCAGACGTGATGCTTGGAATTCAGGCCGAAGAGTTAAATCTTGGTTTCATCAGACCAGAGAATCTTGTTTTTCATGGTCTGAGAGTCTTTAGGTGCCTTTTGGCAAATTCCAAGCGGGCTGTCATGTGCCTTTTACTGAGGAGTGGCTTCCATCTGGCCACTCTACCATAAAGGCCTGATTTGGTGGAGTGCTGCAGAGATGGTTGTCCTTCTGGAAGGTTCTACCATATCCACAGAGGAACTCTGGAGCTCTGTCAGAGTGACCATCAGGTTCTTGGTCACCTCCCTGACCAAGGCCCTTCTCCCCCGACATTATGGGGTATTGTGTGTAGATTGCTGAGGATTTTTTATTTATTTAATCCATTTTAGAATAAGGCTGTAACGTGAAAAATGTCAAGGGGTCTGAATACTTTCAGAAGGCGCTGTACATGCGCTCTTTGTCAGAATACATAAATGACATGCATGCAGTTATTGTCAAACGTGTAAATGGCCACTCACTGACAATACACAATGCCTTTTGCACGGTCATAACCCCTTGTGGTTTTTGAGTCTGTTCACACACATCCCTTTAGAGATGAGACTGCAGAATCCTCTTCGCAACGAGATAGCCGTAGCTAGAATTCATTCACCACACAATAGGGCTGTCTCATTCCCAGCGGTTGCCTATAGATACGGGCCGATTTTCATAGAGCTTTGTCTCTCTTCCTCCCCCTTAGGCTACTACTGCCCATGCACTGTGCGTGTGCCTTCTGCCATCCTAGTGATACTTTATACATCATTACATTTTCTGCATCATATTGCATCTTCTTTTCTGTTTGTCCTATATTCAAGCATTACTCACGGTGTAGTAGTTGTGCATGTAAAAATAGGTCAGAAGAGATGAGGAAAAGCATTAATGTAGTGTCAACGCTACAGAAAGCACTGAGTTTATGATGGTTGTGTTGATCCATAAAACATTGGTTTAACATTGAAATAATGTTGTGCTAGGGTCAATGTAGGTTTTGGTGATTCACTGCTTGCTTTTTATTGAACATTTGATGGAAAAAGACTAAACTTTGCATGCAAGCTTTGTGTGGGAACTTCTCTTGAATCATGTTGTATGATATAGGTATTTTCCAATACACCTGCAAGAGAGCTAGATGTGATTTGCATCTGATATCAGATGTTTAAAGACCTAGAAAGCCATCTGTAACTTGAGTTTACACAGACATACTGTGTGAGCATGTGTCCGTGTGTGGAGTTCAATGCAATATCTCTAGCTCCCTACCCGGACAGCCCAATAAAAGTCAGCTGTTTGTGTACTCTGAACCAGTGGGCGAGTTTAAAGTTGCCCACATTATTAAATCAATAAATACAAAAATATTTTATGAATGTTGACGAAGGATTATGTGAATACATGTCACATACTCAGTGTCACTTCAAAATGGAGATACAGTGCCTTCAGAAAGTATTCATACCCCTTGACTATTCAAAATTTTGTTGCAGCCTGAATTCAAAATTGATTAAATTGATTTGTTTTTCTCTCACCTATCTACACACAATACCCCATAATGACAAGTGAAAACATGTTTTTAGAAATTGTATTGAAAATGAAATACGGAAATATCAATTTACATAAGTATTCACATACCTTTGCTATGACACTCTAAATTGAACTCAGGTGAATCAAATTTCCTTTAACCTCTACGGGATCGCTGTCCAGTATATGGGACTGTTGAGCTAACATGCGCTAATGTGATTAGCATGACTGTTGTAAGTAACAGCAAACTTTCCAGGACGTAGACATGTCTTATATGGGCAGAAAGCCTAAATTATTGTTAATCTAACTGCACTGTCCAATTTACAGTAGCTATTACAGTGACATAAATACCATGCCATTGTTTGAGGAGAGTGCGAAACAACAAAAAACATATCACGGCAACTGGTTTGATACATTCACCTCTGAAGGTAAAAAATGTACTTACATTCAGTGATCTTGCTTTGATTTGTCATCCCGAGGGTCCCAGAGATAAAATGTAGCATAGTTTTGTTTGATAAAATCCATTTTTATATTCAAATGTAGGAACTGGGTTCTACAGTTTGAACCCTTGCTGTCTCTGGCTCCACACCCACCCCGCCCGGCCATCTAGATGTGTGAAAGTTAGCGTATAAGCTAATTATCCATAATTTTTTACATTCCTGGGAGTGTGTAAACTTACATTTTGTATTACCATATCATTTTTGAATGTTCTCTATAGTTATGTACTTGAAAATGTATCAATTGACCAATTCGACACATTTGGGCAGACTTGATACAAAGTAGTCCAGTATTGCAACGCTTCACTGGATCAATCTGAAACTTTGTACACACACTGCTGCCATCTAGTGGCCAAATCTAAATTGTGGCTAAACTGCAATATTATATTGTGGCCTTTCTCTTGCATTTCAAAGATGATGGAACAAAAAATAAATAGAAAACGCATGTTTTCTTTTTTTTGTATTATCTTTTACCAGATCTAATGTGTTATATTCTCCTACATTAATTTCACATTTCCACAAACTTCAAAGTGTTTCCTTTCAAATGGTATCAAGAATATGCATATCCTTGCTTTAGGTCCTGAGCTACAGGCAGTTAGATTTGAGGTTAACCTTAAGAGGTTAATCATCCTTGAGATGTCACTACAACTTGATTGGAGTCCACCTATGGCCAATTACATTTTTTGGACATGATTTAGAAACACATCTGTCTATATAAGGTCCCACAGTTGACAGTGCAGAAACTATACCAGGGGGATTCAACTCTTACCCTACGAGGTCCGGAGCCTGCTGGTTTTCTGTTCTACCTGATAATGAATTGCACCCACCTGGTATCCCAAGTTTAGATCAGTCCCTGATTAGAGGGGAACAATGAAA